AAAAACTATAAGAGTAATTTTCAAAATTTTGTTTGGTCCAATCAAATGGTACAAAATTTATATTTCATCTTTTCTCACAAGCCTCATGAGTAATGTTGCAAGAAACCACGTCTACTCATAAATCCCGAGGAACATCCTTTGTCTTAATATCGTCTACCTGAAGACTGTTCATTTTGCCATTACTGTGCTACTTTGATTGGCCAGTGAGGGTCACATAACCAATCAAATGTCATGCATATTAATTTCTCAAGGGGAAATAAATTTAACCCAGCAACATTCCCCCACCCCAATACATCCAGAAAGGAAAACTGTATGTTAATAAATTATAGAAAAGAGGTACTCTCCAACCCAAAGGTTCCATTCAGAAATAAGTTACAAATGGTTTAAAATGGATGTTAAAAGTATCTGAAGATGGCTGACACAAACCCTTCATAAGTATAGTTTGCCTGAAAGGGGTCAAGTGCAACTTGTCACTTAAGGGGTCAAGTGCAACTTCTCATTTATTAGCCAGCCCATTTAATCTTTGGAATAGAACCTGATTGTTAAATAAGGAGTGGTTATAATTTAAATTTATGGGATCTGAGGCCTCATTTAGGTTTTCCACTGGATCTAGCCTTATATCATTACCTATGTAAGGCGGCTTTCCAGCTAGTTGTTTCATTTTTTTTTTCAATTCTGGAGTATTGTTAAAATTGTTATTTTGTCTTCATCATTCTATATATATTTTTTTTTTCTGTTTTTGTTTTTTAATTTTTCAGCCAGAATTCATTCAGTGAAAGGTAGATGATTTTTTTTTTTTACCTGTTCACATTGTTTATTTGTTCTCACCTGTGAATGACTTTGTTCTTGAATTGAGATTTCACCGAGCATTTTGTGACGATATTATTGGATTAACAAATATGTTTCAGGTGGCCTTGGCAATATTTCCCTGTTGGTACCTTAGCAATATCTGACTGTTGGTATAAAAAAAATTAGCTAAAATATTTATAATGAAAAAATAAAAATGGCTAGGGAGGCTTCAGAAGAATGTAAATTAAGTTTTTATTTTCTAGAAAAAGAACACATTAACCAAGGATATAAATATGTTGCATGCCTTCTCTCTGACTCTGAAAAGGATAACTAGGTTGATATTTCAAAAGCTGATTTTACTCACTTGTAACATGTTGCAAGAGGCTGTCTATACACACAAGTCTGGGATATATCTTGTCTTAGCAGCATCTACCAGAAGACTATACTCTCTGTCAAGAAGGTGTGCTGGTGATCAGCCACTGAGGGTGATATGACTGACCAAGTGTAGTGAAAGATTTAAAAAGTTAATCCAACAACTTTCTCTATCCCAGTACATACAGGGTATAAAAAGAAGGAGGATATGCTAACAAAGTATAGAACTTTGTTATATGCCTTCTCTCTGACCCTGAAAAGAAAAACTAGTGGATGTTATGAAAGCTGTATTTACACATGTCAGTAATATCATCATGCAAGATGCATCTATTCATGCCTCCTGCTATAAATTTATCTCAGTAGCATTTATTACAAATGTAAGAAAAGGCAAAAAGCGAAGTTCATGGGGTTATGCTGCAAAGATAATGCTTAATCCTAAACTTGAAGAGGTCAAGATTGTAGTGATTGGGAGTCTGTTCCATAAAGCAGCAGTTCTTTGGAAGATTCTGTCAGAGTGGAACTTCCTCCTTACTAATGAAATATGAATGCGGATGATTCATCCTTGTGTACATAGCATGGTGGGTCGCAGTTGCAAAGGTCAGAGCTGGCGGGATCAAGAAATGTAGCTTGTCAGAAGATATGCCATGGAAATAGTGAGATTGCGACATTTTGTCTGTGGGAAAGTGGTTGTAGGGTGGAAAATAATTCATCACCCACAAGGTCGTGTAGGTGTTTTTGAACTATCAAGACTGACAAGTGAGGACTGGGCAGCTCCAGTACAGATATGACAGTAATACTCCAGTTTTGGTCTCATCTGGCTCTTGTAAAGGTAGAGCATACCAGGAGGAGTCAGATACTTACTAGAACATAATTACAAACTATTTGTCCAGCGTCTTTAGCAATAGATTGTATATATGAGTTCCACTTGATGTTTGGGAAGGGAAGACGAAAGAAGATATTGTATTGTCGAGGTGAATGATAGTCAGAGAAGAATGTGCATCAATATATTTATTCAGCACCAATATCAGATGTTAACGAATACATACAAAAAAACACAGAACAATAAGTTACAAAACAATTAACAAGACAACTTACAAGGAGTAAAGGAGGGTCAAATGCTGTATAACCAAACAAAGTAAGATCAGTCTGAATACTAATCAGCTTAGTATCAAATTATTAATCAACTTAGTTCTTAATCGTAGACTATTTAAAACTATGAGCCATGCCATCTGGTAGATGGGTCGCAGTTGCGACCAATCTGAAGGGGTGCTAGCTACTCTACAACAGAAATTTAACCCAACAGTATTATATTCACGTTTAATGATCAGTTACACTCTTTTTCGTTTTCCCTTTGGTCTCTAATAATTGTTTTAATAAAAACTGACCTAGAAAAATAATGTTAAAAAAGATAATTCAAAAATATTATTTGACTTGGAAAACCAGGGGTCTGGTTTAATTTAGTTTGTAGTCTCTTAGTGCTTTCTATGGTATAAACAATTCATTACTTATGAAGCGATCACACAGTTTTGTAAGTGATTATTTTCCACCCTATAGACCCTTTTCTAGAGATGCAACATCACTAAAGATGCTGGAAAAATTGTCACTTTCCTGTAAGATTCCAGCAAGCCCTTGTTACCACCTACTATCCTCTAACCATACAAGAGCCAGATCTGGCTGACAATGGAGTACTGCTGCCATATATCTTAATCTCTTCCAGTCTAGGGTAAACCATAATACAATCCCATTTAGTAACCCTCTAACTTACATGGCTCTTGAGCCTTGTATTAGGGGAACAATAACAATAATGATAATAATAATAATAGCTAGAATTATACCTGTGAAAATTTCATGGTTTTCCAACTGAAATTTTCTGATGAATCTTAATCCTTTAGTTAATGATTGAATAAGCTCATGGTGAGTTCTACAGCAATAATATATTATTTACATTATTCGTACTGTTATTCTTGTCTTCATTGCCATATTAACAATGTTTCAACCACTGTATGCTCCTGCCTTCTTCAGGTGATTGGAATTTCAAACTGTACCCTTTATTTCGTCCACCGAGGCAGATTTTTCTAGTTCCACATACCATGCCTCTTCCAGATGCCTCAGTTATTTCCCTTTACTTCAACTCAAGTTTTTTGTTCAACACTTCTGTAGCCTGGCATTGAACTCACAACTCTTTGTGAAATTCAGTTTATTGTCTGGCATAGTTAACCTCCTTCTGATGTTAGCATAGGCCTCCAAAAACTTACAAAAACTCTAACCTCATCTTCAAGGATGCACTGTAAATTTTTGATACTTATTTAAGGAAAAAAAACTATATCCTTGATGCCAGCAAATATGGTACTTTTAACTATTTCTTAAGTTTAATTTTACCATGAATCTCTGGTGACAAATTGAATTTCAAAAACTCCAAATTAATTATGGTCTGAAGTGGGTTTTCATGTTGCCTGTTTTACCCCTTCATGTCCTTGAATAACTTTGATTAAATAAATACCGACTACTTCTGTTATATCAGTAACTGCATTAATTCAAAATGTTTTTTAATGAAAGTACTTTAATGTAATTGAAGAAGATAGACTCTGTTACATCTAAATATGATGCTGTTTTTGCTCCATTCTAATTGAACGCTTTTTCTGATCGACCAGCTGGATATGACTGCTAGTTTTATTATAATTGTGCTTCTTCTTCCTGTCGTTAGTTCACTCATCTTTATGCCCTGCTAATACCTCACAAATAATGGACTATTTCCTTTTGGTCACGGGGAAAGAGGGCAAAAGACACTTCTTGGTTTCAGTACAAAAATGAATAAAGAAAAGAAAGAAGGAAAGCTAGAAGTGTTTAAAGGCTGTTTTAATGGGGTGAAATGCTGTCAATTTCAAATCTTTTCATTGTACACGCATAATGACTATATTTATGATAGTTAATGCAATATTCTTTTAAAGTTGTTAAGCTCAAATATTTAATGATGTGATATGGAAACTTTCTATGGATATTTTATTGTTATAGAACTTGCTATAATCTTATTCAATCATTAACTTAAGAATAAAGATTTGTAAGAATATTAAAACAGGAAAACTATGAAATTTTTATGGGTTAAAAACTAATCTTTATTATTTTCGTTTTTTTTATCTTTTCAGTCTTTGATTGAAAGTTCGATGCTTTTGTTTTTAGTTTTATTTTTATTTTTGTTTTTTTTTTGTTAGAAATTAATTTACGTTTCTTTTCTTTTTTTTTTCTTATTTACTTTTTCACGTATTGCCCGTTTGTTCTCACCTATAAATGACTTTGAAATTCTGCTTGTTTCTTTTCTGAATCTTTTGCCAGCTGAACAAATCACTTCACGTTCTGTTTAGATACTCATTTAAATTGGTGTGCACAAAAACTGGGAAAGTGTTGATGTTCACAAGGGAATGAAAGGTGAAAATAACATCACAGAGAAAGAAATCAAAGCATAAATCTTCTTCAGTATCTCTGAGATGAGGTATTCTGATTACTTGCATTATTTACATTATTCTGAGTGTTATCCTAATCTTCATAGCCATATTCACAACTTTTCGGCCATTGTACACTCCAGCCTTTTTCAGGAGACTGTATCTTTGAGATGAGGTATTCTGATTACTTGCATTATTTACATTATTCCGAGTGTTATCCTAATCTTCATAGCCATATTCACAACTTTTCGTTTTGTACACTCCAGCCTTTTTTCAGGAGACTGTATCTTTGAGATGAGGTATTATGATTACTTGCATTATTTACATTATTCTGAGTGTTATCCTAATCTTCATAGCCATATTCACAACTTTTCGGCCATTCTACACTCTGGCCTTTTTCAGGGCCTTTTACACTTTTCTATCTCAGCCTGTCAGTTATCTATCTATCTAATGTTCATTGTCTATCTATCTATCTATCTATCTATCTATCTATCTATCTTATGTTCATTGTCTGTGTATCTATCTATGTATCTCTTTTCATTATCTATTTATCCATCTATCTATCTATCTATTTTAGTTTGTTCATTATTTATCTATCTCTGCCTGTCAGTTATCTATCTATCTATCTATCTATCTATCTTCTATCTTCATTGCCTGTCTATCTATCTATCCATGTTTATTGTCTGTGTATCTATCTATGTATCTCTGTTCATTATCTATCTCAGTACGTTATCTTTACTGCCAAGGAATTAGATCAATTTAAATATCTGGTTAGCATTTAAATATCTGGGAAGATAGCCATGTTGTGTTATGTCTATCTTCTCTGAAAATTACAAACCAGAAAACTGCCTGGGAAAATGTTTTCATCTCTCATTTCCTTCATCATTTTTGTTATTTAAACTAACATTTTTTTTTCAATAACTCCTTTTTTTGCATCATATCAAAATCTATTTCTGAATTTCTCAGATGAGGAATTTTCATTATTTACATTCACACTATTGTCCTCATTGTTGTTATCACAACATTCCAGACATTGTGCCCTCCAGTCTTCATCTTCAATCTGGGTAATTTACAGGGAATTCTGAACTGAACCCTTTATCTATGCGGACCTCCTTACTAAGTCTTGCATAGAAATAAATACAATATGAGAGCTGCCAATAAAGAAAGAAAGTCAAATGATAGCAAGCTTTAACAGCAGCAGCAGCTGACAAGCACAATAGTACTAATCAACAGTCAGGTTAGGTTTAAGTCTCCAAGCTCACAGAGAAATGTTCAATGGTTTAATGTTGCTTAACTTTGGTGATCATATGGGAACCAGTGATTTGACATGATGTTGTCATAAGACTTCGAAAACTTGAGGTCAAAGACATTGCCATAAAACTACATGTGGCAAAAACAGCATGATTTTGGATATTGTGGTAGGCGTATATTTTGGTGGGAGCCATATTCTTCTTCTTCCTCTTCTTTTGCAGTTTCCTTTCAAGACATGAGTGATCATGGCTCTCCACAGTTTCCTACCCTTTATAGTCCACTCCCTATTCTGCCATCCATTTAACCAAGCTTGTTAATTAGGTTACTCAATGTTCCTGCTTGCCTTTAATATGTCCTGTGAGTGTCAAACTCTCCAAGTCTTCTTTCCCCATTATAGGTCCCAGAAACTACAACTAATGCTTTTTGACTGTCAGTAAAAGTGTCCTTTTCATGTACATTTTCTTTAAAACTTTCTCGTTACTCATATGCTGTGGGATTACTGCCAAGAGGAATGAGAAAAATTCCCACTGCAAAACCTGGACTTTGTTCCATTCAACGCCATATCAAATCAAGGCAATTATTTGATCCATTTGCAGGAACGCTAATCACTAACTCCATACTTTAATGTTTTATACTTTCTGTAATAATAAAGATCACTTTTTTGCAAAAATGAAAATTCTTTTTTAACTTGAGAAAAGAACTTGAAGTAAAATTGTCACCAGTATTTTTATGTGTTTTTTTCAGCAACCGGGGTATTTATTCTCAGAATTCTTCTGTAGAACCATATGTTTGTTGCCTCAAGTTTCCTCTTCATCTGTGAGGAAATTGTCCAGCATTCACTGCCATATAAAAGGATGGATATTATGCAACAGTTCAACATCTGTTGATTTGTTTCTAACAAAATCTTTTCATTTTCATAATACTTTGTTTAGCTTCTAGATGGCATCTTTTGTTATTACATCATCTTCTGTAGAACCACTTTTCTAATTTCCATCTGTGAGGAAATTGTCCTGCATTCACTGGCATATTAGACTATGAAATTTAAATGCAACTCAAGTAAAGACGTCACCACTGGGAAAGTTGAAGCAGGAGAAGTTCAACTTACATTCGAGACTCTTTGCCAGATTGAAAGGACAACTTTATGAATATTTAGAGACATGTTTTGACTTTCTTTCTCTTCGACTTTTTTCGACTTTGATAAAGAAGTCGAACTTACATTGTCCATAACTTATAAACAGTAATTGAGCACAGTGTTTTAATGTCATTTTTTAAATAACTAAGCAATTTCAAACTGGAAAGGTACATTCTCAATACCAGGAACTTTTGGTGCTTATACTGCAAATTAACCAAATTTGCTACCAAATGAAAATAATTTTTGGTACACAAAGGTTATTTATGCAACACTTTCCTTGTTAATTTTTTTTCTCAGATTGTATTTATTGTGTTTTTTTGCTGAAAACAGAAAGGGTAATGAAACCTTCATGGCCACAAAAAGCCAGAGTCAAAACCACGTTTTTATACTTGGCAGCCATTGTCATCTATTATTATTAATTTTTGACTAGGATTTTCTTTCATCTTCATTTCTTATTTGATGAAGCATTGTCATCCATTATTATCCAATTTAGACTCACATTTTCTTTCATCTTCATTTCTTATTTGATGAAGCATTGTCATCCATTATTATCCAATTTAGACTCGCATTTTCTTTCATCTTCATTTTTTAACCGTCAAGTTTTTCTCACAGTCAAAGTATCTGATTTGTTAAATAAGACATATCTCGGCTGATTTACAGGCAAATAAACTAGCATACTCAAGAGCGAGAGTCAGATGTGAACGGGACAAGGCCCCGTCACAAAATGACCATTATTGTCGTTTACGCATATTCCCGACGCACGAGTTCCAGTCGAAAAATAAAATAATATTTTAAAGTATTTCTATTTTTTGACCAATAAAAATGCTTCCCTCTTAATTATACTTGCATCGTTTTTCGAGCCTGTTAAGCCATAAAAAACACTATAAAAAGGGTCACACAGTGAAGTTCAAGAGCCGTCAACAGGAGGCCAGAGAAGAGACCTGTCACAATCAGGATGAGCGCTTGGCAGCAGTCAGCAGGAGGTGAGCCATGTCAACCAGTGAGAACTACTATGAGAAATCAAACCAGATCAGCAGCCAGCTTATGAACTTTACCACAAGGTATCTGTCCCAAACCCACACGTTCCTGTTGAAATAAATCATGTAAATCTATTTCTGCTGTTGTCGTATTTCTTCCTTGCAACCATATGCTTGTCTAGTGAATTTAAGTTTATTTGCAAATCATTAGCAATAAAACATATTACAACTCCCCCTTATCACCCAAGATCAAACGGACAAGTCGAAGCGGAAATGTTTGTCGATACGTTTAAAAGTGCATTAAAATGTCGGAGGGAAAGGAGTCAGCTGAAGAAATGCTACAACAATTTCTCAGTGTTTACAGAATGACACCAAACCCGAAAACAGTGTCTGGAATGTCGCCTGCAGAGTTGATATTCGCCAGGAAGATTAAATCCGTTTTTAATAATTATTACCAGAACGTAAGGAGAGGGTATCAAGAAATAACAATATAAGTAAATATTTCAAACCTGGAGGAGATAATGTATTTTTTAAAATGTATCAACATGGGAAGGAATTCTGGGAAGATAGCGATATAAAAAAAACGGATTGGCAAAATGACATACATGATACAGGGACAAAGGTGGGAAGATAAGCGACACCTTAATAAGTTAAAACGGAGATTCACTGATTTAGTAAATCCAAGAAAAGATGAAAATATAACAGTTATTAGTAGGCAAAAGTGATAAATGTCTAAATCTCACAAAAAACAATTTAACTCTTTATTATGACCCTATACGGTCTTCTCAGTTCTGCAGATTGGCAAAAAAAAGTTTTTTAAAAACAACTTAAAAAATGAAGATGAATGTAAGTATTAGCCAAAAATTGAACATAATTTCATCAAAAATATTTTCTCTTTGCCTTTCCAAAATATTGTATTGTTGTGGTACGATCCACCTAATTTACATAGTGGAGTACCGACCATATAAATATGGGTTGGTACCGGGAAGACGGGGGGGAGGAACAAGAGATCCAATCCAGAGACTCTGCCCGACTGTGATTAAATCAACCCATTCTACAGGAACAGTCTTCCCAAGAATAAAACAAAAACTAACTGTAAATATTGTGTACCTTTTCCTTGTTTCAATACATTTTGTTTACGTACATTTTGTGTTGTATTATTATTATTCCATGCTTATCCAAGCTTCAACATGTATCTAACCAAATCTTTTTTTTTTATTTTCAATTTAATTCTGACTTTTTTCTTCTTATTTAATGATGCAGTTCCCATACGAATGATGCAGAAAGGTATCTTGTTTGTTTGAGATTGATTCAGTTTTGTTATTCTTTTATCTTGGAATTCTTTTTATGTTTTCAAAATGTGTCAGTTTGTGTGCCAGACTCTCAAACCTAAAACCACTTTCATCCCACCGTGGTACGAAAAAAAAATAACATTTTTTTTTGTGAAGAGATAATGATTTATTGATACAAGTCATACTAATTAACCCATAGCTGGAGGAGAAGAGCTGGATTTATACCTTCCCCAAGGGTATTTTCGTGTAAGTGAATATAACAAACTCGACTGGAATTGACACTCAATTTTCTAATTTTCAATTCCGAGATGTTATCACACATCCAAGCTTACAGCACCTGGTATTTCCATATGGTCACTCATTTAGGTACAGACCAGACTCGACATTGCTTAACTTCAGTGATTGTATGAGAACTGGTTTTTCAATGTAATGTGGCCATAAATATGCACAGGGGCGTACCGAGGCAAAGTGCTGCCCAGGGCCTGTATTCATAATGCCACCCACTTTTTTGGAGGTAAAATAAATGAAATACACTTAATGGCCACTATTTACATTATTCGGACTATTGTCCTCATCTTTGTCGCCATATTTATTACAAAGTTTTGGCCGTTGTATGCTCCGGCCTTCTTCAGGTGGTTGGAATGTTGAACTGAACCCTTTATTTTGCTCACTGGTGCAGACTGTTCTAGTTCCACGTGCCATGTTACAATGGATGTCAGTTATCACTTATCTCCTGTTAATTCCCCTCTGCAAGTTCTCTACTGCCTTAACCAGGTATTGAACTCAGACTTTTTGGATCCTGTCACTGGATCTAACACCTTTATCCACTGTGCCATGTGTCACTTTCTATCTCTCTAACATTTACACATTTGGCTCAGCCAATCAAAACAACTTTCTTTGTTTTCCTGCATCTGACCTCAAAGTTCAAAATGAGGAAGTTGGAGGACATACAATTCTTTAAAATATAATAGTCTGCTTTAATATGTTGGGTCTGGATTCCTGATACCAAAACAAGCTGAAATGTCCTTGTAAACATATGTCCAAAAGGATTTGCGGACATATGTTTATATGGACTTTTGTCCTTGTTTTGGTGTGAGGAACCCACCCCTAAAGTTTGTAAAAATATTTTTGATACACTCTGTGTGTGTATATATATATATATATATATATATGTAAAAATCTGTGGTTAAGTAATCTAGGTGAATCCTAATAATATAAAATATTAAAACTGATCCACAAAAGAGGGCTCAATATATTTATTATAGAGCATAGAAATGAATTACATAAAAATGAAACTCAATTTTAACCCATTTTTATGGCCATTTTGCTCCCAGGGATAAATTCCATGGTACAATTAAGTTTCATTTTTATGTAATTCAAAATTAGGTCTTCACAAGTTACATGATACGCAAGTATATTTATTGTTAATATCTATATCTATATCTATATATATATATATTGATAAATAAACATATTATCCAACAATGTTTGCACAACTCAGAGTCAGTACCTAAAGACTGCATTTCAGTGTGGTATAAAATGTATATTTATTAATATATATATATATATATATATATATATATATATGGCCAGCAATATTTCTTTCAAACATGTTTTGTTGAATATGACAAAAAAGAAAATTTTATTCATTTTTTACTGAGATTTTCTAGTATTCTTAATTTTTTTTTCCCATTTGGTGGGGGGGGGCAGTGTAAAAATCATCACTAGTGTCTATTGTCTCAAGTATTTTCAACCACTTCTTGAGCCATTTTCAATGGGTATTGTCATTAATTTCTTTTTTTTTGGTTTAAGATGAAAAATTCATCTAATTTTCCTTGTCTGTCAAAATGTGTGTGTGTGTGTGTGTGTGGCTTTCTGTCTCTATCTATTTGGGCATGTGTCTTTGTCTCTGTGTATGTCTCTCTCTTTCTCTCTGTGTTGGGGTGTCTCTCTCTCTCTTTCTCTGTCTCTCCCTCTTTGTGTTTGCATGTGTATGTCTCTCTCTCTCTCTGTATATGTGTGTGTCTTTCTCTGTCTCTCTCTCTCTCTCTTTCTCTGTGTGCATATATATCTCTCTCTCTCTTTGTGTGTGTCTCTGTCTGTGTGTCTCTCTCTCTCTCTCTATGTCTGTCTGTGTCTTTGTGTGCATGTGTCAGTGTATGTATCTCTCTCTGTGTCTGTGTATGTCTATCTCTCTCTTTGTGTGTGTCTGTGTGTGTCTCTCTCTGTCTTTATGTGTATGAGGGGCAGTGAGAGAGAAGAATAAACTACTAAATCAAATTCTTGTGGATAAATGAGCTTCCTTAAATCGTCAAGGGTTTGGAATGAGTCTGGTGTACAATTCTTCGTTCAGAAAGTTTGCATTGCATGAAGTTTGAATGTTCTTTTTCGATCTACATCTAATTGGCACATAAATTTATCTTTATTTATTTTCAATTAAATAGCATCTTTGTTTTTCTTGTGTTCACAATATCATCTTCTGACCAGTCAGAAAAGTATCCGCATCTATCCACCTACAAAGTATTCGTGAAAAAAAAAACCTTTAAAAAATATAATATATATATATATATATATATATATAATATAAAAATATATATATATATGAAAAAAATATACAAATAAAAAAAAATCCTTATATACAATTATGTTGTTTTAATGTTAATATGTCAACGTTGGACGTTTTGGTCTAATAAACCATCTTCAGGACATATTCATAAATTATAACATTATCAATACAACATGACAAAGACGATGTACATAAGAACAAGACTTATCCAAACAAATAACTGAAAGTTTTATAAGATCAGTGCTTCATTTAAAACATGGTCACGTTGTCGTCACGTGGGCAACGCTGTGAAAACGTATTCCTAAAATTTGAGTATTTTGAATGAATTTTGAAAACGTATTCCTAAAATTCATTCAAAATACTCAAATTTTAGGAATACGTTTTCACAGCGTCGCCCATGTGACGACAACGTGACCATGTTTATATATTGTTTTTTTTAAAGACTGTTATATATATATAATATCCAGCATTTCTTCTCAAAGAAAATTGCATTAACTGTCTAATGTCTGACTTTAAAAAAAAATATTTAAACCCTGTTGCTATAAAACTGAACACAAAAATGTTTTTTAAATGTTCCCTCTCGGATAATGCCGGATATTATTCTGTCTGAATTTCTGAGATGAAGTCTTATCATTATTTACACTATTTATATTTGAACTATTGTCCTCATCTTTGTTTTTGTTATCATAATTTGTTAGATGCTGTGCTCTCCAGCCTTCCTCAGGTGTATATCAATTTGGCTTTTATTTTCTGTTTATGCATATCTCTTGAAAAATCATATTTTATGTACAAAATTTTGTGAAAAACTAAAATGAAGGTAATCAATATTTTAAAATTTTCCTGTCATGTTTTATAGCAACATGGTACATATATATTTTTATGTCTATACATTTATGAATCTGTGGTTAGAATGTATATTTTCTGACAATGAAACCTGGGTTCAGATTTTACCATGGATGATTGGTTAGGAGGTGACTTTCTTATGTTATTAGGCTTGATAAATGAACCCAGCATATGGAACCTTTGGAAAATGCTTGAAAACCATATTACAGGCTTTTTCCAAGTTTTGTGAGTGAAATTTGGTAGATAGAACTATTCATAGCTGTGCTCACATGTAAATCACTGAGGCTTTGGGTGTACTGGCCTTGTTAAAAAAAAATTCATCTCGCCAGATTATACGTTCTCTCTCAGAAACTGTAACTAAAGTCTGCTCAGCATAGCGGCAGAATAAATTACAAAGATGGCATCTGTAATAAGGATTTGGCTAAACACTCTAGCAGACAGGTGTGCTTGAAAACAATTAGCCAGCCATCTTTGGGATCTGGACTGTGCAGTAGTTTCTGATGGGGCCTCTTGATGCTATGACAAAACGTACAGTTACAGCATATTCCTTGTTGTGTTATTTAATGTTGATTGATTGATTTGTTTTTTATGGTTTATCAACCCTTTGCAGGTTATTTAAAGCCAGAAAATATTTTTAGATTGTAAGAATTTTTTTAGAGATAATAATGATTTAGTAATGATAATGATTTACTAATTAACCCATAGCAGAGGGGAGAAGAATTTGATAAACAAATAAATTATAAAGTAGATATAAACTGGGGAATCAATCCTATATTACAGTCATTATGTAAATTGAACCCTCACTTTGCAGTCACTATAGTTTACATATATTTATATTCCAGAGAATGTAAATAAATGTAAAAGACATGCCTGTGGAGCTAATCAGTATTTCATTCATTGATTTGTTTTCTACAGTATATAAACCACCAAAAAATTGGATATGAAGTGGGGGATCAATTCTATATTACAATCTATAAATTGATCCCTCACTTTGTGGCCACTGTAGTTTCTATACATTTCTATTCCAGAGAATGTAAATGAATCTAAGATATGTCTGTGTAGCTAATCAGTATTTCATTGATTGATAGATTTGGTTTCTATAGCTTATCAACAACGAAGAAATTAAAAATGGATATAAAATCGGGATCAATTCTACATTACAATCAATATATAAATTGATCCCTCACTTTGTGTCCACTATAGTTTCTATACATTTATATTTCAGGAAATGTAAATAAATCTAAAAGACATGCCTGTGTCGCTAATCAGTATTTCATTCATTGATTCGTTTTCTACAGTTTATCAGCAATCAAGAAATTATAAGTGTATATAAAGTGGGGGATCAATTCTACATTACAATCAATATATAAATTGATCCTTCACATTGTGACCATTGTAGGTCCTATACATTCATATTCCAGAGAATGTCAATAAATCTAAAAGACATGTAGTTAATCAATATTTCGTCGATTGATTGATTGCTTTCTATAGCTTATCAACCCTTTGCAGGTTATTTAAAGCCAGAAAATATTTTTACATTGTAAGAATTTCTTTTTTGAGAAAATAATGATTTAGGGATATGTCATACTAATTAATCCATAGCTGGGGGAGAAGAGGTGGATTAATACCTTTCCCAAGGATATTTGTACATAAGTGAATATAATGGGCCCAACAGGAATTGAAACTTTACTCTTTGATTAACAATTCTGAGCCATTATCCATCACACCACCTGCACATCCAAGCTTACAGTATCTGCGATTCTCATCTGGTCACCCATTTGGGTATTGGCAAGGTGTGACATTTCTTCACCAGTGATCAATGAGAGCCAGTGTTTCAACATAATGTGGCTATAAGCCCTACTGTATTGGGGGTTTGAATTATACTGGCTTTGCTAAAAAACATTGATCACACCAGATTACATGCTTTCTCCAAGAAACTGTAACTAAGGTCTACTCAGCATAGTTGCACTATAAACAACACAGCGGGTCTGTGTATGTTTGGTTTGTTTTATTTTACGGGATATCAAC